CAAAATCAGGGAGAAGCAGGCAAGGCCGCGAGGCCACCCTTCCCTTCGTGTCCACCCTACCCCTCATTTGGGTTCTGCCCGTGGTTTCTGGCCCCACTCCCCGAAACCGGAGCCCTCGGTGCACTATTCCCTTTACATATCCACACCCCAAGCCCAGCTCCCAGGTGCCCGCCCAGCTTTCTTTTGGGCAAAATGGAGGTCGTGGGGGCTGGAGGGCTAGGCCCACTGCGCTTCACAGCGCCGCACCAGCCCGCGCCGCATCAGCTGCCAAATCCGGGGACCCTCCCGTCACCTCTCCTGTGCCCCGCCAGACCTGCGGAGGCGGTGGCACCCCCATTTATCTGTGGAGCCCCGGCTGCTATATCCCCAGAATCTGGGGGCTGCTGAGGGCACTGGGGGGTGATGGGGACCGAGGGCTGAGAGCGTCGCCCCCGCCCCGAGTGGCTTCCTCCTCCTGCCCTGCTTCCCTCTGCCGCGGGCCTCCGGCGGTGCCGCCAGGCCTGGGCTGGTAGCTGGACCAGGCTTTGTGCGGGCCTGGGGGTTGGGTGGAGTAAGGAGTTTTGCCCGCGCCCTCCACTCCGGATTTTGAGGAGCACCCCCTGGCACTGTCGTAGAAAGCTGAACTTACAAGGAGGGGAAATGTCGGTGGGAAAGAGGAACCTGGGGCAAGTGGGAGCTGGGTGGGGGACGCCTGGGCCGGCCCAGTGCAGTGTGCGTGGCCGGATCACACAGGTGTCCCGGGGTGTGGGGGGGGGACAGGACGCTGGCGCCTGGAGCGGAGCAAGCCATGTCCCTGGAGCCCCGGCGCCGAGCCCGCGGGCTGGGCCTTTCGGGTGTCCAGGGCGCTGGGGCTCGGCCGCCTGGGGCCACCTGCGGGCGCCTGAGAGAGAGCAGCTCGGCGCCTCGGGGCCGGGGGCCTCGCTGCGGAGCCGTAATTACTCGAGAGCGGTCCCTACGGGCTTTCTGTGGGCGCGGCGGGGCGGGCGGCCTCGGCGCTGGAGGGAGCAACAGCTCCGGGCTGCCTTCCCCGTCGCTGTAGCCCCCACCCACGGCGGACGGCTAATGGGGCGCAGCCGGACCGGGGATTATCCGGGGTGAGCTGTCCAGAACCTATTAGCGCCCAATCGGCTTTTCCCAAATCCTGTAAACAGCCACCCGGGCCGGTTCTGGGGAGGGGCGGGAGGCTGGGTCGGGCGGGGGCGATGGGGCCGGGGGTGGGGTCACCCACCCTACAGGTCTCTGCCGTGGATGCGGTTGCCTTGGTAACGGGGCTAGGGTGGGGGCATTTCACCAATGAGGTGCTCTCGGTCCGGGTGACGGTTGCCTAGGCAACCCCACGAACAGCCCAGCTTTCCCCTCTGGTCTCCCCCCCCCACCCGCCACTGTCGAAGCTGGGGGTGTGTGTGGAGGGTGTGCGGCGTGTGGGGGTGAATTTCAAGAGGCACCTCCCCTTTTAAAATTAGGTGCTTGGAGGGCGGTGCCTGTGCGGGCTGGGGCAGACGCCAGGTCTGTTTTCGAAGGGACACCCCCCCCCCAGTTCCTGCCGCTGGTGTCCCGCCCGGGCTGTGTCCGAGGGAGGGGTTTCCCCTGCGCTTCCTCTTGCACTTCCCGCTCCGTTTCCGGGGGGCAGGAGGAAGATTGGGGAAGTCGGCTCTTACTCGGCGACGTCTCCGGTGCTGGAGACCCTGGTTGTGCCCGGGGACCGTGCCGCGCCGCCCCTTCCCCCTCCCCGTGCTTACCCCTTCCGGGCCGCGCTGCAACCCCGCCTTTCCCCCCCACTTCCCCGGCGGCCTCGGGCCTGACGTCAGCCCTGCATCCCCCAGGCCTCGGGCCAGCGGCCAGGAGCTGCCTCCCCCAGCCCCCGTCCCGCGGCCCCCAGCCGCCCCCAACCCCGCCCCACGGGCCCGGCGCCATGAGTGAGCTGGAGCAATTGAGACAGGAGGCCGAGCAGCTCCGGAACCAGATCCGGGTGAGGGCCTGGCGCGGGGTGGGCGGTTTATGTGTACCCCGCCGGGTGCTCTGGACCGGACTGGGTTTGGGTTTTTCTGGGGGCTGGTGAGGGGCAGGGGGAGGGAGACTTTAATGGCTCAGAATCTGACCCTGTCCACTCCTGTCTTCTATTATCTTCCCTCCTTCCCAACCTGCCTTCTCTCGCGGCTCTCTGGCTCTGCCACCCTCTCTACAGGATGCCCGAAAAGCATGTGGGGACTCAACACTGACCCAGGTGAGGGCGCTCAGTGGCCGGGGGTGACTGGGAGTTGGAGGGGTGAGGATTGGAGGGCACTGCTCTCTGCAGTCCTGCTGCTTGGGCCTCCCTGAGACCATTTTGTCTCCATTTCCAGATCACAGCTGGGCTGGACCCAGTGGGGAGAATCCAGATGAGGACCCGGAGGACCCTCCGTGGGCATCTGGCAAAGATCTATGCCATGCACTGGGGGACCGACTCAAGGTGTGTGTGTAGATACAGGCTGGCGCTGTGAGCTGGCTTTGTAGCAGGCTGTGGGGGCAGCCTCAGATCTGGTGGGATGAGCAGGCTGCCAGAAGAGCCAGAATGTGTCTGGAAAGATGGTGACTCCCAGACATGCCCGCCAGACCTGGATAGGCAGGATCATTTCGGAACTTGTGGGGTGCAGCCAGAGATTCTCTCTCTCGGGTGGCTCACGCCTGTAACCCCAGCACTTTGGGAGGCCAGGGCAGGATTGCTTGAATCCAGGAGTTAGAGATCAGCCTTGTAGTCCCAGCTATGCTGGGGAGGCTGAGGTGGGAGGATTGAGTTCCAGGCTGCAGTGATGGCACCACTGTACTCCAGCCTGGGCAACAGAGAAAGACCCTTCCTCCCACCCAGTGGGAGGGGGGTGTGTCTTGCTTTGAAGCCACAACCCTCTGCTTTCCCCGAACTGTTCCCCACCAGGCTGCTGGTCAGCGCCTCCCAGGATGGGAAGCTCATCATCTGGGACAGCTACACCACCAACAAAGTAGGGTGGCACGGGCTGCAGGGCGGGGTGGGGGCGCAGGGCCCTGGCTGGCTCTGACCTGGGCGCTGCCCCTGCTCCGCAGGTCCACGCCATCCCTCTACGCTCCTCCTGGGTCATGACCTGTGCCTACGCGCCCTCAGGGAACTTTGTGGCCTGTGGGGGTTTGGACAACATCTGCTCCATCTACAGCCTCAAGACCCGAGAGGGCAACGTCAGGGTCAGCCGGGAGCTGCCTGGCCACACTGGTGAGGGGCCTGACCTGGCTCGGGCCCTTTTTGGGGTGGGGGGGGTATGCCGCCCTCCGTGTGGAGACCTGGCTGACCAGCTCCTTCCCCAGGGTACCTGTCGTGCTGCCGCTTCCTGGATGACAACCAAATCATCACCAGCTCTGGGGATACCACCTGGTGAGGCTCTGCCAGGGCTGGGCAGTCTGAGGGAAACCACACTTCCTGCCTCGGGGGCCACTGTCCCAGTGCTCAGCACACAGCTTGCACCGTAGCCTCCCTCTCCTGGTGGGTGATAAGGGGGTCAGGGAGGGATGCATCCCCCTCCCCCCCACACCTAAGGCTCTGAAAAGAGCCTCTTTGGATCCTTCCACAGGACTGGGCTCACGTGGTAGGGTGGAGAGAGCAGGGACTCTGTCCTTTGCTCTGTCTCTTATCTTTTCCTTCTTCCTGTCACTTCTCCAGTGCCCTGTGGGACATTGAGACAGGCCAGCAGACAGTGGGTTTTGCTGGACATAGTGGGGATGTGATGTCCCTGTCCCTGGCCCCTGATGGCCGCACGTTTGTGTCAGGCGCCTGTGACGCCTCTATCAAGCTGTGGGACGTTCGGGATTCCATGTGCCGACAGACCTTCATCGGCCACGAATCCGACATCAACGCGGTGGCTGTGAGTTCCGGGGCGAGCTGGGCCAGGCCTTCCCCAGCAGGCTCCCAGCCCTGCCCCTTGCCCTCACCCCACCCTGGTCCTGTGTCCTGCAGTTCTTCCCCAACGGCTACGCCTTTACCACTGGCTCTGATGACGCCACGTGCCGCCTCTTCGACCTGCGGGCTGATCAGGAGCTCCTCATGTACTCCCACGACAACATCATCTGTGGCATCACCTCTGTTGCCTTCTCTCGCAGCGGCCGGCTGCTGCTTGCTGGCTATGATGACTTCAACTGCAACATCTGGGATGCCATGAAGGGCGACCGTGCAGGTGAGAGCTGGGGTCCCAGACTGACAGGCAGGGACCTGGAGCCTGTGCCAAATTGGTTCTGACGTCTCCCTCCTCCCTCACAGGGGTCCTCGCTGGCCACGACAACCGCGTGAGCTGCCTCGGGGTCACTGATGATGGCATGGCTGTGGCCACGGGCTCCTGGGACTCCTTCCTCAAGATCTGGAACTAATGGCCCCACTCCTGCTGGGCCCAGGCCGGGAGGGACCCTGCCCATGCCCACACTACAGTCTGGGGCTGTGGGGCTGGGGGTACTCCCAGTCCCCTTCCCTGGGCCACGGGGCCTTGGGTCCCTGCCCTCCCACCCAGGTTTGGTTCCTCCCGGGGGCCCCCACTGTGGAGATAAGGGGATGGAATGGGGGAAGAGGAGGGGCAGGAGGCCCTCATCCTTCTGCTGCCCTGGGGTTGGGGCCTCACCCTTCTGGACGGCCAGAGGCAGGAGGTGAAAACCCCAGGGGCTGGCTTTTTTAAAACTGGTTTTATTTTAATTTTTATTATATTTTCAGTTTTTCCATAAAGGAGCCAATTCCAACTCTGTACCTGGTCTCTGCCCTTGCTGTGTCCTCCTTGTTTCTGGTCTTTGCTGGTTGAGGGCTGCCAGGGGAGTGTAAACCAAGCAGCTGCAGTAGCTGGTTGGGGGGGTGGGGGGCTCTCAGTCTCTCTCAGAGCAAAGCTAAAGCCCTAAGCCAGAGCCTTCCAGAGATTCTCAGATAAGCAGCCCGGGCTAGGGTGCTGACCAGAGTGGGCCCTGCTCAGACCTCCTAGTTCCCCATTCCCCTCCCCATATAAGGAGCGGTGGAGACAGAATGGGAGAACACACACCAAGTTTTATTGGGAGAAGGGAGTATTTACAGGAGCAGGTAAAAGACAGGGAAGTCACACGGGGTGGAGAGGGGGTGGGGAGATTGTGGGTACAAGGCAGACAGGGAACACAGTGACCCCTGCACCCACCCCAACCCCAGGAAGGGCAGGGGAGCAGCGAGGGCCCAGGAAGACCAGGGCTGGGAAAGACAGCAACAGAGTCTGAGTCCCTGGGCAGGGGGGCTCAGGGGCTTGTAAACATTGACCACTCTCAGAAGGGGATGGGGGTGGGAGAGGGCTCCCCCTATTCTTCCTCACAGGGTTAAGGCCTCTCCAGGCTCATGGGCCCCCTAAGTCCAAAGTCTCTTTAGCTGGGGAGAAGGGGCAGGAAGAGACAGGAAGAGTGCCCCCCCTTCCCCTGCATTGGCTGTGGCAGGGGCGAGGGGCTTACATTCAGTCACAACAGGAGTCTCCCCCACACCTGGCAAGAGGGAAGGGGAGCTGGGGGCCAGCAGCAGCAGACACTCCCCCCGGCCCGTCACCCCTTATTGCTTTAGAGAATATTGTCTTTTCAGGGACGCTAACACTGTGGGAACCAGGGAGAGGCAGGTGGGGGCCCCCCACCCCGAGGCCAGTTTGATCCCCCAACACTGACCCAGTTGCCACTTTGGTGCAAAAAAAAAAAAAAATAACAAACAACAAAAAAAAAACAAACACCATCATCTTTCTGGGGCTAGATGGGGAAAGAAACGGGCCACTCCCCATGTCCCCAGGGCAGGAGGGAGAAATACATTCATGGAGGGAGGCAGTGGCAGAACCTTGCCCTAATACTGCACTCTGAGCAATGAGGTCAATGGGAGGAGCTGGATGAGAAACCCAAAAGACAAAACTTACAAAACCCAAAACGGGTGGAGACGAACGCAACTAGGGGACCGGGAATAAGAAGTCAGTGAGCAACAGAAGGCGCAGCCTCCCCTGACCCAGGAGCTGCAAGCTTCTCTTCACCCCAACCTAACCCAACGGTAAAAAGCGCATCACATCAGACCAGGGAGGCCGCCCGCTCCCCTTCCATTTGGTCAGTAGAGGGATCAGGTGCAGAACTGGGTGGTCCATACCCCATGAACTGGCTACAGGTTGGGGCCCTGGGTGGCAGCCCCTCCACTGCAACCCTAAGCCCAAAGCCACCCACTCCTTGCCTTTGAGGCCCCTCCTGCCCCCTTCACTGGAGGAACAGCTCAGCCTTCTTTCTCTCTGCAGCCTCCGGAGCAATCATCCACCCCCGCTGCTTGCAGGGGTGAGGCAGGAGCCAGGCAGGGGTGAGGCGGGGGCTTGTGGCCCAAAGAATACATTCACGTGGCAAGGCAGAAAGCTGGGGCTTTCAGGTTCAAACACAGGGCATCCCCCAAAATGGCAGCAGTGGGGGACGCCCCTCACCAGGGCCACAGTCAAGAATCCTGCAGCCCTACCCCGCCAGCCAGAGGTTGGCACGGCCCATCCCCTCCTATCCCTCAGCCAGCACAGGATGGTAGCCTGGGGAGCTGGGATTGCTCTTCCAATTTGTGCAACTGTCCCCCAAAGCAGCAAAGCCAAGGGGCTACTTTGGCCCCACCCCAGACACCTCAGCCAGCCCCAGCTACGGAAGCTGCTCACTGCGGGTCTGGCAGGCAGAGCTCAGACAGGCCTCCTGTGCAAACTGCTGGCCCCGAGCTTCCAGTTACCCCATGGCCCGCCTTCTGGTGGGGGTAAGTGTGGCCTTGGGGGCCAGGCAGGACAGGTCCACAGGGCCTGTATCCCCAGCTGCCCCAAAATAACAGTGTGTTTTTTCTTTCAGCCTCCTAATAATTTTTTTTTTCATTTTTCATCTTTTTTCTTAAAAAACAAAACAAAACAAAACAAAACAAAACAAAAACCTCTGTGGACCTTCCATTGTCACACCCACTATCCCCACAGTGGGAAGGGGTGTTTAGAGTCTAGTTAACAATATTTTTGCTTCTCCTACATTTTCTTCAAAGTCGTTTAAAATAAAAAAAATAAAAAGAAAAGCCCCCTCCCCCAGTCTGTAAAGTGCCTCGTGGTGGGTGAGTTAAGGTGCATCGTGTGTTTGTAACAAGTGCTGGGGACCCCGCCCCTGCCTTCTCCTCTGCTCCCTGCAGGAATCCCGCAGGCTGGGACCCTCAGGTCCATGCCTCCGCTGCCGCCCTGGCCTACAGCCCAGGGGCTGGGGGTCCAGGCTGGTCAGTAGTCATCCACACTCTCGATCTCACCAGAAGATCCGTGCAGGGAGTACCCTGAAGCCGGGGAGAAGCTGGGTCTGAGCTCTCTCCTGGGCTCCTCCTGCCCTGTGCCAAGGAAGTCCCGCTCCTGCCCCAGCCCAGCTCACCCAGGATGCTGGGGTCTGAGTGCAGCATCAGCGCCCGCCTCTTGGCCTTGCTGCCCTCTCCAGGGCCGAGTTTGGTGCTGTGGTTGGCCTGGAAGGCCGTCTGCAGGGAGGCGTTGCTCAGCCACGCCTCCTAAGGCAGTGGAGAGGAGGGCGAAGGTCAGGTGGCACCAGGCAAGCCCACCCCAGCAGCCAGCACCAGGGCCTCACCTGCTGTTGCTGCCGCTGCTGGCTGGCTTTCTGCTTGGCCCTCCGCTCCAGGAATTGTTTGGCAAATTCTTTGGCTTCCAGCGTGTCCCCCAGGCAAGAACGGATATAGTCGTGGACATCGTAAGGGGATTCTACCTCCTTGAGGATCGCTACAGCCATAGGCACTGTGGGATGGGTGAGGGCTGTCAGGGTTCCCTGGCTGGGTTAGAAGCCCCAGGCCCCGCCCACCTCCTGGGAGCCTGGCTCGCACCGTCCAGGCTGCCCGTGGCGCTCAGCGTGTGCAGCATCTGCTCGCACCACTGTGTGAAGCCGTCCTGGGGCCTGGGGATGCCCTGCAGCAGCTTCAGCAGCTTTTCTTCTTCCTCTGTCTTTTTGCGAACGGGCCGACCCGACAGGTGACTGTACGAGTCGCTGAAGGGGGTGGGTTGAGTTAGGGTCAGAAATCAGCTGGGGGGAAAAGGGGCGGAGGGGGGGATCTGCCACCTTCTGCCCCAGGCCCGCCATGGAGCCTCTAGGTGCCATGCCCACCTGAGAGATGGGCTGCTCCGGCTGTTCTTCATGCCCAGGCCTCGGACCAGGCTCCCGCCACTCTTGGGGGTGTCCTCCCAGAGCCCCAGGCTGCTGCTGCTGCCCCCACTCTTGTCTGGTCCGCCCCACAGCGGCCCAGCCTCAGACACCCACTGGTTCAGGGGGGCAGTGCCCAGGCCCCCAAGCTGCTACAGATAGCAGAAGGTCAGAGTAGTTCGAACAAAGGCACCCCAGAAAAGCAGATGGGGAGGCTTGTTTAGATGGCAAAGGGAGAGGGGCGAGGCAGGGGCCACAAGAGCCGTCGCCATCACAGGAGGGGCTGGGGCTTGGGCTGCACAAGTCTGGGCTCAGCAATCCCCTCCCTGTGCCATGCTGGAAACCGCATGGGGGGGGCCCAGGAGATTCCTGGCCTGCTCACCACTCGGTGGTTGGGGGCCTGGGCCCGAGTTGGCTCCCGAGGCGGGGGCTGCTTGTGCAGCTGCCGCTCGCCCTCCAGCTGCAGCTCCAGCAGTGTCTTCATGGACAGCCCCTGCTTGGCCAGGCCAGCCCAGAGCGGGGGCGGGGAGCTGGGCGCAGGGGGCACAGGGACTGACTGCTGCTGCTGTAGTAACTTCAGCAGCAGCTCCTGCTGCCGCACCTAAGAGGGGAACGTGGTGAGGGTACACGGTGAGGAGACCCGGCGAGGGCTCTCGCCCTGACCAGCCAAGGCTGGGCAGCACCCACCTGCTTGCGCCGAAACAGCTCTTCCTCCTCCTGCCGCCGCTTCTGCTCCTCCTGCTGCTGGCGGCGCTTCTCCTCCCGGCGCTTACGTTCCTCCTCCTCCCGCTTCACCCTGAGCTCCACTTCTCTGCGCTCCTGGAACTGAGGCCAGTGGCCGATCAGGGGGAGAGCTATAGGGACAGCCTGGGGCCCTCCTTGGTCTGCCCTTCACTCCCAGGGCCTCAGCCCCAGGACACCTACTCACTTTATGTTGCAGCTGGAGTTGTTCTAGAATTGGACCCTGAGTCGAAGAGTTAATTGGTATGTCCCAAAGACTGGCCTCACCACCTGCAGGGGGCAGGGGGCAGAGGCAGCTGCAGGTGGGTGCCCAGGCCCACTGGTCTTATCCAGCCACAGCAGTGGCCTCCCCAGCCAGGATGTCAGCTACGGCCGCGTGTGAGGGTGGGGAGCAGACCATGGGCCCCAGTTCACCCAGAGACTGCCTGGGAGTCGGGGGCCAGGCAGGCCACACACCTGACTGTGATGAGGCTGAGGTATGTATGTCCCAGAGGCGGCCCGAATCCGGCACCGACAAGGACCGGCTTATCGTCGGGAGCAGGTTCTGGTCCCCGCCTCTGAGGGGCAAATCATGGATGCTCAGGACCCCACATCTATTTCTGCTCCGCCCCCGCCCCCCTGCCCTGTATCCTGAGTTTGCATGGCCACGCACCTGGGGGGTTTGAGTGCCTGCTGCAGGAATGCCGTGAGCTGCTGCTGCTGTTGCTGCTGCTGCGGTGGCGTCAGGTCCCCCAGAGCTGCCTTTTCCCGGAGCGTGCACTGCGGGAGCTGGCGGCTGCCAACAGGACAGCGGGGGTGATGGGCCACAGAGCCTGTGCCTGGCCCTCCCCCAGCCCACCCCGGGCCCCCATACCTGCTGACCAGCTGGAGAAACTGCTGGTGCTGCAGCTGCTGGTATAAGGCCGCCGCGGCCAGCTCCTGCTGCTGCTTCTTCAGCCGCTCCTGGTCCATGTTGCCCTGCTCAGGCGACAGCTGAGCCAGTGCCTGAGGCACGGAGGAGGGGGCTCCGCTGGGCTCCTGTCCGCCCCCCCACCACACCCCATCCCTTCATGCAGCGGAGAAGTGGCTCACCAGCAGTGGGGGTGGCGAGGGCCCTGGGGCGAAGGGCACGCGGCCCCACATTTTGATCACCTCGCCCAGTGGCTGGAAGCCCTCATCACAGCCCCGCTTCACCAGCAGCGACATGGAGAAGTAGCCGGCCTGGAACCACTCTGCCATCTCCTGTGTTGTGAAGGGGCCTGGACAGAGATCGAGGGATCGGGAGAACCACTGGGGTTAAGGGGTACACCAGAGACACCCTGAACCAGAACGGCCCTGAGCAGTCCTCCTGCCCCACACAGGTACCTTGGATCTCGCCCTGCGGGTCCTTGTAGAACCACTTCCGGGCAGCTCCGTGGCTGAGCGGGAGGGCAGTGGCAGCTGCAGAGTGGCGCAGGCCCTGGGTCTGCATGGCAGCCGTGAACTGCTCCTCCTCCAAGGAGCTGTCCTGCAGGGAGGCCACCAGCTTCTCCGCCTCCTGGAAACCCAGGAAGAGAAGCAAGGTTCAGCTGCCAATCTCAGCAAGATCAGGATGGGGAAGAGAAGGAGCTAGAGCCAGGCAGTTTGGAAGGTCAGGAGCAGTGGGAAGGGTCCCTCCAGCTTTCTCAGCCCCACACCTGCTGCAGGTGCTTCAAGCCTTCATCATCCTCCAGATCTCCGGGTGGGCCAGTAGGGGAGCCCACCCCAGGACTCAGCTGGATTCCCCGAATATCATCTGGAAGGTGTGAAAACAGGAGGTGGAAGGGAAGGCAGGAGGAGACAAGACAGCCCCCACCCACCCTTACTCCAGAACACCATGCTCTTGCCATGGCTCCTTGACGTAAATGCCCTGTGTTCCTACCCCCATGGGAGGGGAGTGCCTTCTCGTGCAGCCCCAGGGTACCCGGGAGGTAAGCCATCCTCCCTTCCTACCATCGGCCGCTGTGGGGTCTTTCTCCACAGCTTCATCCCCATCCCCGTTTGTCCCCCAGAGTGGGCCCAAGGTGGGCAGTGGGGACGGGGAATTGGGCTTCTCCTCCTGAGGAGGCAGTGAGGTCAGCTCTTTCCCACCTAGAAGATGGAGATGACCAGAATTCAGAAACAAGGGCTGGGCCTGCCACACGAGTTAGCACAAGCCCTCGAGTGTGGCTCGAACAGAGTCACAGCCCCCTGGCCGAGTCTACTTCACTGGAGTCAACCAGTAGCGGAATGGGAATGCGGTGCCCTGACCCTCGCCTCTATGCTGCCAGATGTGGCAGAACACACCACAACGCCACACAACACCATACAGCACTGCAGACCTCACCCAAAGTTCTACAGCTTTTTCAAGAGTTGGGGTTTCACCATATTGGTCAGGCTGGTCTCGGAACTCCTGACCTCAGGTGATCCGCCCGCCTCAGCCTCCCAAGGTGCTGGGATTACAGGCGTGAACGTTCACGCCTGGCCTTCAAGGGACGTTCAAAGGTCATTTTGATTATGCCTGATTTTTATCTGGCACACTGCCTTGAAGGCAGGGCTCTGCTCTCCCCTGCTTCCTCTCCACCTCTCAGCACTCTTCTTCCGATTCGAAGCAGCCTGGCCTGGTCCTACAGGTAAGGTAGGTGGGCAGCCAGCGCCCAACCTAGCAAAGAACCCATATGCCCACCTAGCCCAGCCCAGCCCCAGGCCCGACGGCCGCCCTGAAGGCTCACCCGCCTCAGACCCTTCCTCTTCTAGGCCTTCGGAAGGCTGCTCCTCCTCCTCCTCCTCCAGTCCCTGGAAGTCTAGCTCCTGCTCCTCAGGAATGGGCTCCTTGGGGCCTTTCTGCATGGGGTAGGGAGGGGTCAGAGAACAGCTGGGTGGGCAGGGAGGAAGAGGACCCCAAAGGGCCGGTTCCCACCCTCGGCTCTTCACAGATACCTTGAGAGGCAAGAAGGCCCCAGAGGCATCAAAGGTGCCCATTTCTTCATCCTCATCATCCAGGCACCACTCTGGGAGCCCATCCTTGTCCTCCTCAAAGCCGTCGGTCGCTCGGCACCGCCGCAGGTGAGAGCTGCCTCCCCCTCCCCGCCCCTCCTCTTCACCACAACCTCCTCGATCCCCTCGCAAATCAAATTCAAACTTGCGCCTCCGTTCCCCATGTTCCCGCCAGCCAGCAGAGCGGGGACCACCATCTGCGCAGGAAAAGTTGGAGGAGAGTGGGTACCCGAGTGAAGCCGGCGGCCCCTCTCCTGCAGCTCACCAGGTGTCCCAGGAACTACCCGAACCTCCAGGACTGCTCTCCAGGCCACTCCACACCAGCCAGCCTTTGCTCCCTATCTCGCTCCCCACAGGAGTCCACCCTCTCATGACAGTTCCTGGCCCCCAAAGCCCCCACCAAAGCCACCGGGCCCCAAGCTTACCAGGGCTGGCGGAGCGCCAGCGGTCACCATCTCGCCGGGGCCCTGCCCCGAGTCTCCAGCTGCCCTCCTCCTCCTCCTCCTGCTCCTCCCGTAGGGAGCGCCAGTTCTCGCTGTCTGAGCGGGCATGCTCCTTCCTTGGGCCAGACCCTCCCTCCTCAAACCCACATCGTGCTGGAGAACGGGGAGAGAGAAGCAGTTATCAGAAAGACAGTGCAGTGCCTGGAAGACCCTTAGGAAACATGGGGGGCCAGCTCCAGGCCCTCCTGCCCCAGCACCTCCCGAAATAAACCCCTCCCGACTGGGCCACCCATCTTGGTCATCCCTCCTGCCCTGGCCGCTTCCCTCAGCAGCCTCATACCTCCATCCCTCCTTGCTGACTTCTCAAAGCGCCTCTCGCCTCTGCAGCAGGGAAAAGTGTGGGTCAAAAACAGTACAGCCTCCCCCCAACCCTGCACAACCACTGTGCGCCTTGTCCATTGTGCCCTGAGGCAGCAGAGGGAGGGAAGGAGGGAGAACATAGGAAATCAGGAGTCCTCAGGAGCAGAGGGATCTCTGACAGGGCTTATCTGGTGGCCTCTGTTAACCCTCCATGGCCTGCCCTGCTCTGCACCGAACCCCCTCCTGGCCCCACCTGTCATCCCAGCTCTGGCTGCGCTGGATCTCCCGGGGGCTTCGTCCAAAGGTCCCATCACCTTCTTCGATGCTTCTTTGGTAAAAACAGCTGTCACCGCGGCCACGGCCTAGAGAAAGAGTGAGACACACGTTGAAACCTGCTGCACACCCTCGAAGCCGGGGGCCCGGATCTCCCCGCCCCCAGGACACACCATCACCCCTTTACCTCGGCTCCGAGTACTGCCCCTGCCTCGGGAGGTGCCAGCCAGGGGGGGCCCAGCCCCTTTCCCCATCAGCCTCAGCACAGCCACGCTGTTCACTGACAGGGAGAAGTTTCTCTGAGGAGGGAGCCGAGGCGGGAATGAGGACCCAGACACCCCACCACCCCCTCTCCCACCCCACAGCACCCTCCGGGCCTGTCTCCCCAGCGCTGGCCCCTCTACTAGCCCCACCCATGACCTCCCCTCCTGGCCCGCATGGCCTCAGCTCCTGGCCCGGCCCCACCTGCTCCTCCTCAGTCAGCGGCTCCAGGGCCAGGGGCTGCAGCGGCTCATCCTGCAGCACCGCAGCAAACTCCTTGTCCTGCAGCTCTTCAGGGACCTGGCAGTGGGATGGGATGGCCAAGACACCACATGCTGCTGGGTCCCCTCCACAGGCCACGGCCGTCACAGCCAACCCCCTTCACCCGTGCCCCCACCTTGTTCTCCTTGACATAGAGGGCCAGCATCTCCTCTCGCCCGTAGCGGTAGTCAGCCAACTTGTATTTGGGCATGGCAGGGGACGAGGGAGGGGAGGCCACGCTGCCGCCCCCAGATAGGGCCCTGAGCCTGGACACAGAGGGAAAAGGACAGAGGTCAGGGCAGCCTGACTGTGCTTCCCCGAGTCTCCATGGCAGCTGAGGCACACGTCACTCACCACTCAGGCCCAAAGTTGAGCGTCTCTGCTGCCATTGTGGGGTTGGGCGTGTTTCTGAGGCCGGGGGTGAGCAGGAGGGGGCCTGGCGTTCTCTCTCCAAACACCTATCGGGTAACAGGGGCCAGGGAGAGTAACACACTCAGGAGGCCTCTACAGCGCAGTGGCGACAGACACCCTGGGGGACATCCTGGTGGATATGGCAATGGGCCCCGGAAGAGCCAGTGAGTTACCTGGGGTCTAAAAAGACTCACCTGAGCCAGCCACACGGCCACTCACACCATGAGTTACCCAGAGATGAGTCCAGATGAGGAAAGACCTGAGGGAGGCGAGGAGACCGGAAGCTCGAGTCCTTCCAGCTTCCACAGGGCCACCTCCCTCGGCCCGGGGCTCACCTGGCAGCCTGGCCCGGGAAACAGGAGGGCAGGCACTGGTGCTGGAGTAAACGAGGGTTCCCAAGCCACTGGGAATTGGTCTGGCCTCAAGAGAGCCTGGGAGGGGCCTTCACATCTGGGAAAGACCCTTAAGGAGAGCAGGGGAGGAGGCGAGGTTCAGGTCAGGGCTCTGCCAGCAGCCCCGTCCTGCCCTGCATGACAGAGAGGTCCATCCGCCAAGAGTGGTCTCCGGGCACCAGCACCCGCTCTGGGAGGCTGAGACAGGAGGCCCAGCACAGAACTCGGGGAGGGAAGTGGCTGAGGCCAAGATGGAAATTCAGGGCAAAGATAAAACAAAAACAAGCAAGCAAGTCACTGGAGCCACAAATAACTTACAGAAAAAGGCCAGTTACTGAGAGAAGAGTTAGAAGTAAATCAGGGAGCCAGATTCCTTCTCTCATAAAAGATCACTGTTGGCTACTCAGAGACTCAAATCCAGGGTCTTGGTCTGAGGAGAAACCCAGTGAAAAGGAGCAGGAGGTGACTCCACGGCCATAGACGGGTACACACCAAGGACTCCAGGCAGGCGAGCCTGGGCCAGAGCAACTCAGGCTGGTTTCCCCACAGGAAGCACACCCAGACCACCGTCCCCAATCCAGAATGGAGGCTCAAACAACCAAGCCACCAAGGGAACAAGGATCTTAGGATACCGGCTGGGAAGCAGCCTCTGGCCCCATCAGGTAAAAATAAGGTCAGGGTAACGGAGGCTGGTGGGAGCTCGGTGGCAGCCTATTCCTCTAAGGGACGAAGGAGGGGACTCTCAGGAGGAGGCACATCCCTGGGGCCCAGGGCAGAGGACACGGGCGGGTGGACTGGGTCCAGGTGCTGCACATGTGTAGTCACTGGCTGGGAGGGAGGCTGGCCTGGCACGGTGCTGCAGCTCCCATCAACTGCAGGACGCCGCAGTCTGGGAAAGAGGAGGAAGGGGGTTCCACTAGAGGGAAAGGCTGTCACCTTAACTGAAGCCGAAGCCCATGAGAGCCTGAGGCCTGCTCAGAGTCCCAGCACCTCTGGGGGAATCACAGTGCTCAGAGGCACCCCGGGCCAAGCAGGCCGCCCCCGGGACCTCTCCCTCCTCAGCCTCAGCTAGACGCCGTGATGGAGGTGTGCTCCACGCCATGCAAAGCCACCAGCCTGACACTTACTGCAGGTGGCCTCCTTGAGCAATCTGGGGACTGGATGAGCCTTGAGAATGTGACACTAAATGAAACAGTCCAGCCACAGGAGAGCTACCCCTTCCCTCTCTTTCGTGAGGTCTCTAGAGCGGTCACACCCATTGCGGGTGGAAGGCAGAAGGGTGGCTGTCAGGGGCTGAGAGGACAGGGAGCTGCTGCTGAAGGGTTTAAACAACTGAGGAGGGGAACCAGGGGCCGCTGGGGGTCCTGGCTGCACTTCGGTGTGAGTGTGCCCAGTGCCACAGAACAGCACAGTCAGAGATAAAGTCTCCAAATTTTGTTGTGTATTTTCCGACAATCATCACTTTTATAAAAGCTTTAAGGAATAAAAGGGATCTGGAGATAACCAGTGCATACTGAAGTTTTCCCCACTCCAAGAAAAACACTGCACATTCCTGCAAAGCAGCCTCAGGAGAGGCCATTTTGAGCCTCCTCCAGTTCATTCCTTCTAGAAGGCCAGAAGCCTGTCCTGGAGTCATGAAGGTGGGAGAGGGCAGAACAGAAAAGGGACCGCCTGGCCAGCACAATGGCTTATACCAATAATCCCAGCACTGTGGGAGGCTTGAAGAGAGGAGTTCGAGACCAGACTGAGTTAACAGAGCAAGACCACCACTCTACAGAAACAATTCTAAACATTTCTTTAAAGAGAAAAAGCGGCCGGGTGCAGTAGCTCAGGCTTGTAATCCCAGCACTTTGGGAGGCCGAGGCGGGCGATCACCTGAGGTCAGGCATTCGAGACCAGCCTGGCCAACGTGGCAAAACAAAATTTTGCTAAAATACAAAAATTAGCTGGGTATGGTCGCAGGTACCTGTAATCCCAGGTACTCAGAAAGCTAAGGCAGAATTGCTTTGACCTGGGAGGCGGAGGTTGCAGTGAGCCGAGATCGCTCTCCTGCACTCCAGCCTGGGCGACAGGGCGAGACTCTGCCACAAAAAAAATTTTTTATTAAAGTGATGGCTTCACCCCCCCTCCCACCACCAGGCTCATCAAGGGCAGCTCTCCTGGGTGCCCTGGGCTTCTCGAGTCACCCATCCCGGCTGTGTCCTGGCTGCAAGGGGCACACAAAGAGGGAGTGGATCATGCAGCCTGAGTATGGCAACACCAAGATAAGGGAGAGGCAGGTGGGGAGAGAGCAGGCTGAGGGCAGGAAAAAGCCCATACCACCCATCTTCTCATGAAGAAACCAGGAGAGTGAGGGTGAGTTTCTGCTGCCCGCCCCCCCCCCAGCAGGGTCTGGTGCCAGAAGCTGGTGGTGCCTGGGCCCTTCCTTGGACTAAAGGAACTAGGGACGCAGATCCAGGCCACCATGGGGCTCCCACCCTCCAAAACGTTCTGGACTTGGGGCCTCTCTGCTCCTCAGGGGGCTTCTGGCCAAGTCTGGAAACTTTCTGGGCTGTCACAACTAGCTGGGGTACACAGGGCAGCCCCACAGCCAAGAGCTATGTGACTCCAGATACCAAGCGCGCCAGTGCTGAGGTGCCCGCCTCTGCACCACGAGCAGGGGCAGAGCCCACTGGGGTCTATGGGGCCAAGGGGAAGGCAAGAAAAGCCATGTGTGTGCCTGCTGGGTCATTCTCCTCTCTGAACGGCAGGGATACCATTCCCTAATTACACTGTCCCACAAGGAAAATCTGAAATCCTGCTAGGAATAAATGTTTGAGAAAGTAATAGATTTCTTTGTTTTTAAGAAAACCTGCCAAAGTTTGTCTATCACAAAGAAGGTGGCAAGGGCTGGGGGACTGCCACCCGCCCCGGGTCTCCTCCTCACAGGCCCCTTCCAGCCTATCTCCTGCCCTGGCCCTGCCCAGAGTCTCAGCCTACTTGGCTCCCCGTCCCCTCCCCACCCCTTCTCTTTCTCGGGCCTGTCTACCCTTACTCTCCAAGCATCTGAATCAATGCTTTTGAAAGACTGCCCCCTGCCGGAGAAAAGGGGCAAGGACACGCTGGGCCCCAGTGCTCCAACAGGCGCCAGGAAGCGGGAAGAGAGCCTGCTGTCTGGGGCTCAGTACTCAAGTGAGAAGGAAAAGACAGAGAACAGGAGGTCCCAGTACACAATCAGCTAAGAACAGTATCTCCTCACTCCATCACCCCTAAAATTAGCTCCGACATGGGGCACTGTGCCTTGGCACAGAACAGCACCACTTATTCACAGAAGCAGAGTCCCCAGTTCCCCAACACTGGGGTGACCGCCCAGGCCCGGGCCTGCTGGAAGGGACTTGGCCCTTTCTCAGGATGGAGAGTCTCCAAGCGTGGTAGGGTGAGGACGCTAAGCCTTAAAAAAGAGATGTAAGCCCGCAGTCCTCGAGGCTGGTCAGTTATCCCAGCTCTCTCCTCTCTGAGCCATCCGAGCAAATCACACCACCACTTGGCAATTGTCTACAAGTTAACCGTTTTCAAAGCATTTTCACTCTTTACGTCCTGTGAGTCCCTTTTGCCCACGTGCCCAGCCTTGGGAAAACAAGGAAGGGAAGCTGCTCCGACAGTGTGCCGCGACTTCCCTGACATTCTATCCAAGTCTGGAGAAGGCACACACCGTAGCAGTAATCATCCCAAACTCTCAAAGTATTATTTTCTAAGTCTGAAGCCATTTTACATTTGTTAGACTTGCAGCATCCTTCACCTAGCCTCTTCTCACCTTCTCTCCTCTAAAGTGGGCCTTTTTTTTTTTTTTTAAATTCCTTCTCCCTTGAGTTCTGAGCCCCAAACTCCAACCGCAGATATAGTTAGGGCTAACCCACACAAGACCAATGGGTCAGACAGCTGAAAAACAGTCCAAGAAGTTTAAGCAGACTAATCACCACATGGGACCCTCAGGGCCCCGGTCCCCAGGCAATGGCAGGGACACAAAGTCCAGGTCTACTCCCGTATCCTTCCCAATGGCATGACGGACTGCCAGGGGACCAAGACGTACAATCTAAGAAAAGCAGATTGGAGTTGGCTAGCCTGGGTCTGCAAAGGGCACAGGGGAGACAGACCCCAAATCCTCTATGTCGGCAGCAAAGGAGAGACCCTTGCAGGTACCATCGATGGTGTTTCCATGCCAAAGGCCAGGAGTTGGCGGGGGTCTAAGATGAAACTGTTATGTGGACTCGGAGGACAGTGCAGAGGATGAGAAAGCTCATGATCTTCCAGGACACTTAGAGAGGCAGGAGGGAAGAAAGACTGGGTGGCTGGAAAAAAAAAATCCAATCCGGCCAACAAGTCTTTATGTAGCATCTCCCAGTGCCTGGCCCTAGGATGCAACAGACCTGGAGGCTGACTGGGAATGAGAGTAATGACAGCATAACGGAGGAGAGAGCCGAGGGGCTTTAAAAAAGTTACTTGGAAATTGTTTTTTCTTTTAAAGGCAAAGTGTGAGCGCTGTGGACAAGGAACTGCTGCACCGAGGGGCATGAGCTGGAAAGGGCCTGGCCGGGGGACGGGGAAAGCAAGCAGCCCCTGCTAAGGAAGGTGTTTCCCGCGGCCGGGCAACTGCGAAGAGGGAGACCCCGATGACCCAGCACTAAGGTCGCCGGAGGGAAAAGAAACAGAGGTGAGGAGGACCCAGACGAGGTGCCTGGGTGGAGGGGAAGGCTTCCATGTTGGCCAAAGTGGTGGAACGCTTGGACTGGGGTACCCACAAGGCCCAGCACGTTCCGAGGGGAACCCACAGACGTGCTGGGGAGACCTCCAGCGAACGCGGGGCAAGGCCACCCCGGGCCGGTGGGGTCGGGGGCCCCTAGGCGGGCGGGAGCGGCCAACGGCAGAGCTTGGCAGGGGGCCGGGGGCGACCGTTAGGAGCGCGGGGGTGGAAGGCGGCGGGCGGGCCCCGGAGGACGGCGTGCCCTTCAGGAAGGGGCGCCAGGTGCGCGGGGGGCCGGCGGTCGCCCCCCAAGCCGGGCGCCGGCCTCCCGGGGCCTCCCCGAGACTAGCCGGCTCTAAGGGAGGGTCCGGAGGCGGGGAGGGGCCGGAGCAGGCGGGAGGGCGGGCGGACGCACCGGGCGGCGGCGGCGGGCGGCCTCGGGGAGGAGACGGGGGAGGGTCCTCGCCAGCGGCCCGCGCGCTGGCTCCGGCGCTTCGCTCGCTCGCGGGCTCGGCGCGGCCGCAGAGGCGTCGGGGGCGGGCCTGCCCCGGGGCCGGCTGCGGGCCGGGGGCCGCGGGGCCGCCGGGCGCTTACCGCGAGCGGCGCGAGGGTCAGGTCCTGGGACGTGGGCAGCGCGCAGCGGGCGGGGGCCGGGGGCAGCGGCGGCGGCGGCGGCGGCGGCGGGGGAGGGGGCGCTGGCGCTCCCGCGGCGGCCGCTCCTCTGTGTTTGTGTTTGTAGCAAGATGGCTGCCCGCCTCGCACCACGTGATGCGGACGCGGGGCCGCCCCCTCCGCCACCGCCGCTGCAGCTGCCGCTGCCGCCGCCGCCGCCGCCGCCTCCCTCCGCCGCTCCGGCCCGCTCCGCCTCGCCTCGTGCGCTCCTAGCGTGCCCGGCTCGCCGCAACCGGAGCGCCCGTCGCCCAAGACAGCACCCCCCCCCTTTCCCGCCCGGGCACGTGACCCGGGCTCCCGGCTGGTCACGTGACGGGGGGCCCCAGATACGGGCGGAGTCGGCCAGGTCGGCCCCGAAGCGGCCCCCTCTCCCACTCCTCCATCGACCCTGCGACGTGCGACCCTCGGGACTGAGGCCGAGGCCTCCCAGGTGGTCGGCTTCCTGCAGGAAGCCCCCCTGGATGGCAGGAGACAATAAAATCCAGAACTCTTCCTTAGGCGTCCTGGGATGTGTGAAATAAGTGGCTCAGGCGGATGAGTTGCCGCTCAGGAGCCTTTTTAGTTTTATTATTTTTTTTAATTATTGAGACAGAGTCTCGCTCTGTCGCTCAGGCTGGAGTGCAGTGGTTCGATCTCGGCTCACTGCCATCTCTGCCTCCCGGTTTCAAGTGATTCTCGTGAGTAGCTGGGTTACAGGCGCACACCACAACGTTCAGCTAATTGTATTTTTAGTGGAGACGGGGTTTGCCATGTTGGCCGGACTGGTCTAGAACTCTTGACCTCAAGTGATCCGCCTGCTTCCCCGTCCCAAAGTGCTGGGATAATAGGCTTGAACTAGCATGCCCAGCCCATTTATTTTTTTGAAGTAGGGTCTCACTCTGTTGCCCAGCTGCAGTGCACTGGCTCCATCCAGGCCCACAGCAGCCTGCAACTGCAGTGTCTCAAGCAATTCTCCCATCTCAGCATCCCAAATTGATGGAACTATAGGTGTTCACCACCATGCCCAGATAACTTCTTTATTCTCCATAAAGATGGTGGGTGGGGGGGGGGGGGGTGTCTCGACATGGCCCAGGCTGGTTTTGAACTCCTGGCCTGAAGTGATCCTCCTGCCACAGCCTCCTGAGTAGCTGGGACTACAGCTGTGCACCGGCACACCCTAATTTTAAAAATTTACTGTACTGGCCGGACGCGGTGGCTGAAGCCTGTAATCCCAGCACTTTGGGAGGCCGAGGTGGGTGGATCACGAGGTCAACAGATCGAGACCATCCTGGTCAACATGGTGAAACCCCGTCTCTACTAAAAGTACAAAAAAATTAGCTGGGCATGGTGGCACGTGCCTGTAATCCCAGCTACTCTGGAGGCTGAGGCAGGAGAATTGCCTGAACCCAGGAGGCGGAGGTTGCAGTGAGCCGAGATCGAACCACCAGCCTGGGTAACAAGAGCGAAACTCCGTCTCAAAAAAAAAAAAAAAATGTACTGTATTTTTTGTTTGTGTTCCAAGATAGAGTCTTACTCAGTCGCCCAGGCTGGAGTGCAGTGGTGCAATCACAGTTCACTGCATCCTCCATCTCCTGGGCTCAAGCAAGCCTCCTGCCTCAAGCACCCTGAATATCTAGGACTATTGGGGCACACCACCAGGCCCAGCTATTTTTGTAATTTTTTTGTAGAGACAGGGGTTCCCCCATGTTGCCTAGGCTGGTCTTGAACTCCTGAACTCAAAGGATCCTCCTGTGTCAGCCTCCCAAAGTGCTCCTTTGTTTTCTTAATGGCAGATGCCTCTCCAGTGTTTTACTTCGATGAAATGCAAGGAGAGGGCCAGGTGTGGTGGCTCACATCTGTAATCCCAGCACTTTGGGAGGCCAAAGAGGATGGATCACCTGAGGTCAGGAGTTGGAGACCACTCTGGCCATCATGGGGAAACCCCGTCTCTACTAAAAATACAAAAAATTAGCCGGGAGTGGTGAAGGGCACCTGTAATTCCAGCTACTCGGGAGGCTGAAGCAGAAAATTGCTTCAACTGAGAGGCAGAGGTTGCAGAGAGCCGAGATCGTGCCACTGCACTCCAGCCTAGGTAACAGAGCGAGACTTCTTGTCAAAAAGAAAGAAATGCAAGGAGATAAGGACTGTCTTGTTGTCAGATTGGTTTATTATGGAGCTTGTCTTCACCCACCTAAATTGCAAGCCTTAATATTTATCTGGATATCAGAGTTTGCAAAACATATTTTAGGTACCACAAAAAGACACACGACCTGAGTAATGAAGTGATAGCTCATAAACCGTGCTTATTGTTAATTATCAGACATAATGGGCCTTAAAATTAATTTATTGCATTCAGAATTACTTTCGGCCCTGAGCTAAGTTCTTTGCTCAACCAAACATAACTGCATTCTAAGTCACCAATGACCTCCACATTGTGAAATCCACTGGTCCGTTAGATGACCTGTCCCCAGCCAGTGACACAGACGGTCATTCCCTCCAGAAATGCCGTCTTCACCTGGCTCTCAGGACACTATACTCTGTTGATTTTCTTCCCACCTCATTGGCTGCTATTTCTCAGACTGTTACTGATTCCTCCTCTTCTCCCCATCCTCCCAGAGCTCAGTCCTTCAACACCTCCCCATTGGAACAGGATATGGGTTGGGCACAGAGGCTCATATCTGTAAACCCTGTACTTTGGGAGGCCAAGGCAGGTGGATCATGAGGTCAGGAGATTGAGACTATCCTGGCTAAAACGGTGAAACCCTATCTCTACTAAAAATACAAAAAATTAGCCAGGCATGGTGGAGCGCACCTGTAGTCCCAGCTACTCATGAGGCTGAGACAGGAGAATCACTTGAGCCCGGGAGGTGGAGGTTGTAGTGAGCCAAGATCGCACCACTGCACTCCAGCCTGGGGAACAGAGCAAGACTCTATCTAAAAATAAAAATAAATGCTATGGACGTTTATGTACAGGTTTTTAAATGCCAAGAAATATTCTTGCTGGGTCATGTGGTAAGTGTACATTTAATTTTAGAAGGAACTGCCAAACTGTTTTCTAGGATGGCTGTAGGATTTTACACTTCACAGGCAGTGTATGAGAGATCCAGTTTCCCTGCATTCTCATCCACACTTGGTATTGTCAGGATTTCGTATTTCAGCCATCTCAGTACCTGTTATTCGTAGCTCCTTATGGTTTTCCTGTGTATTTCCTTAGTGGCTAGTAATATTGAACATCTTATGATGTACTTACCTGCCATTCTTATACTCTCACTGAAAGATCCCTTTGACATTTGCCCATTTTCTTTTTCTTCTATTTTTGAGACAGAGTTTTGCTCTGTTGCCTAGGCTGGAGTATAATGGTGTGATCTCAGCTCACTGCAAACTCCGCCTTCTGAGTTCAAGCGATTTTCATGTCTCAGCTTCCCGAAGAGCTGGGATTACAGGTATCCACCACCACATCCAGCTAATTTTTGTATTTTTAGTCGAGACGGGGTTTCATCATGTTGGCCAGGCTGGTTTCGAATTCCTAGCCTCAAGTGATCTGCCCGCCTCAGCCTCCCAAAGTGCTGGGATTAAAGTTAAAAGCCACCGTGTCTTTCTTTCTTTTCCCTTTTTTTCCTTTCCTTCCTCTCTTTCTGTCACCCTCTTTCTTTCTGTCACCCTCTTTCTTTCTGTCACCCTCTTTCTTTTCCCTCCCTCCCTCCCCCTTTCCTTCCTTCCTTCTTTCCTCTCTGTCTTACTTTGTCACCCCGGCTGGAGTGCAGTGGTATGATCACAGCTCACTGCAGTCATCCTCCTGGGCTCAAGCAATCCTCCTGCCTCCTGAGTAGCTGGGACTATAGGCACACACCACCATGCCTGGCTTATTTTTAAATTTTTCGTAGAGACAGGATCTCACTATACTGCCCAGGCTGGATTTGCTCATTTTCTAATTGGGTTGTTCGGTTTCTACCTCTTGAGCTTAGAGACCGCTTTATATATGCTAGATACAAGTCCTTTGTTGGATATATGACTTGCAAATATTTTCTCCCAGTCCGTGGCTTCTCTTTTCATCTTATTAATGTGGCCTCTCACACAGCAAATGTTTAAAATTGTGGTGAAGTCCAGTTTATCGACTGTTTTGCTTTTATGGACTATGCTTTTGAAGTCACGCCTAAGAACTCTTCGCTTGACCCTACATCATAGATGTTTCTTCCTAGATCTACTAGCCATTTTGTATTAACTTTTTGCATAGGGCTGAGGCTCATTTCTTTGTGTGTTTGTCCAATTGTTTCAGCACCACTTGAAATGATCGTCCTTTCCCCATTGAATTGCTCTTGTACCTTTGTCAAAAGCGAGTCAGATGGCAGTGGCTCACACCTGTAATCTAGGCACTTTGAAGGGGCTGACGCAGGAGGACTGCTTGACTCCAGGAGTTCAAGACCGCCTGGTCAACATAGTGAGATCTTGTCTCTACAAAAAATAAACAAGGCCAGGCGTGGTGGCTCACGCCTGTAATCCCAGCACTTTGGGAGGCTGAGGCAGGTGGATCACGAAGTCAAGAGATCAAGATCATCCTGGCCAACATGGTGAAACCCCATCTCTACTAAAAAAAAACACAAAAATTAGCTGGGCATGGTGGTGCATGCCTGTAGTCCCAGCTACTTGGGAGGCTGAGGCAGGAGAATTGCTTAAACCCGGGAGGCAGAGGTTGCAGTGAGCCAAGATCATGCCACTGCACTTCAGCCTGGCGTCTGGTGACAGAGCAAGACCCTGTCTCTAAATAAATAAATAAACAAAATTAGCTGGGCATCTTGGCATGTGCTGACAGTCCCAGCTACTTGGGAGGCTGAGGTGGGAGGATGACTTGAGCCAGGGAGATTGAGGCTGCAGTGAGCCAAGATTGTGCCACTGCACTACAGCCTGGGTGACAGAGTGAGACTCTGTCTTATAAACAACAACAAATTTTATTTAAAAAGAAAGAGAGTTGGCTGTGCTTGTGTACACGAGTCTATTTCTGAGTTCTCAATTAAATTCTATTGACTTTTGTGTCTATCCCACGGGGGAGACCATACCTTCTTGATAACTGTATTTATATAGTAACTCTTAAAATTAGGTAGTGTGATTCCAGCCACTTTTTAAAGTGATTTTAACCATTCTACTTCTTTTGCCTTTCCATATATATTTTAGAATAAACATCTATATTTAATACAAAAGAGTACTGCTGGGATTTTTGTTGGAGTTGCATTAAGCCTATAGATCGATTTGGGCTTTTGTTGTTGTGTGAGCTGGCGTTCTCTCTGTCACCCAGGCTGGAGTGCAGTGGTGCAATCTCAGCTCACTGCAACCTCCGCCTCCTGGGTTCCAGCTATTCTCCTGCCTCAGCCTCCTCAGTAGCTGGGATTACTACCAGGTCCCTGCCACCACACCCGGCTAATTCTGTATTTTTAGCAGAGATGAGGTTTTACCATGTTGGCCAAGCTGATCTTGAACTCCTTACACCTCAAGTGATCCACCCACCTTGGCCTCCCAAAGTGCTGGAATTAAAGGTGTAAGCCACCCCACCCAGCCCCTATAGATTAATTTGCAGAGAATTGGTACCTTTACTATAATATGTTGGACCTTCTAATTCAACCCCAATCTTGTGGTTAATGAAATAATATGAAGTAAAGGAAAGAACTACGGGATTGAAATGGTGCTGGGAGCAAATTTCTCTGGAATCTGAACTCTCTTCAACCTTTGATCAGATGGGGTCAGATTCCATCCTAGGCAACTGAGAAGCATCTAGGAGATATAAATATGCCAACTCATCTGTGTGGGTTTACAGTTTACAAGATTACCTTGGGTTTCACAACTCAGCTACAAGACAGGAATTAGCATCCCCTGCCCTTTTTTTTTTTTTTTTTTTTTTGAGATGGAGTTTCCCTGTTGTTGCCCAGGCTGGAGTGCAATGGCTCGATCTCTGCTCACTGCAACCTCTGTCTCCCAGGTTCAAACGATTCTCGTGCCTCAGCCTCCCCAGTAGCTGGGGTTACAGGCATGTACCATCATGCCTGGCTAATTTTTGTATTAGTAGAGACGGGTTTCTCCATGTTGGTCAGGCTGGTCTCGAACTCCTGACCTCAAGTGATCCGCCCCTTCCACCTCAGCCTCCCAGAGTGCTGGGATTACAGGTGTGAACCACCGAGCCCAATCTTCTTTTTTTTTTGAGATGTAGTTTTACCTTGTTGCCCAGACTGGAGCGCAATGTTGCTATCTCAGCTCATTGCAACCTTACCTCCCGGGTTCAAGCAATTCTCCTGCCTCAGCTTCCCAAGTAGCTGAGATTACAGGCATGCGCCACCATGCCCAGGTAATTTTTTGTATTTAGTAGAGACGGGGTTTCACCATGTTGGTCAGACCGGTCTGAAACTCCTGACCTCAGGTGATCCACCCACCTCAGCCTCCCAAAGTGCTGGGATTACAGGCGTGCACCACCAGTGTTTTGATATCCTTTATTTGTCAGGGTTTTTTTTCAGTCTCCATAGAGACTGTCAAAAATTGCCAGTGCCGACTGTATTGGAAGTTGTCACGGCGGGGTATTGGGAAAAGTTTTCAATTAGCAATAATCGCGCCTCAGATAAACCTCATTGGCTACGATACTGCCACTGCGTAAAGCTGTATTTGTCAGTTTGAATGTTACATGTATGGTAAAAGAGGTTATTGTTTTATATAACTGATCATTGAATATGCCACCTCTTGCAACAGTAACTTAATGAACCCAACTGTACCCTCCAAATGGACCAATTTTATGATTCTCCTAAAATGTTTTGAGTTTCTTGTTGTTTCTTCCTGTGATCCAAGGCTTAAAAATGAGGCTGGGCACCATGGCTCACACCTGTCATCCCAGCACTTTGGGAGGCCAAGGCAGGCAGATCACTTGAGATCAGGAGTTTGAGACCAGCCTGGCCAACATGGTGAAACCCTGTCTCTACTAAAAATATAAAAATTAGCCAGGTGTGGTGGGTACATGCCTGTAGTCCCAGCTACTTGGGAGGCTGAGGCAGGAGAATCGCTTTAACCTGAGAGGTGGAGGTTGCAGTGAGCTGAAATAGCGCCTCTGCATTCCAGCCTGGGTGGTGGAGTGAGATTCTGTCACAAAAAAAAGAAAAGAATGAATCTCTGGAAACTAGCAATTAGAGCCAGACCTCCCCAGGATCAAGGAGACAGGAATCAGGGGAAAAGACACTACAGATGAAGCCCCCAGTCTCAAGCACTGGGCCATATGCTTGACTTGAGAGCATTCCAGCACCCACAGTCAAGTGTGGAGCCATCTATATATCCTATCATCGCAAATGCCCACAACTGCTGTCATTAACAGGGTATTGGAGAAAGGAGGCACATCATGTGTGGAGGAGTGAATCAGTCCCAACAATTATGTGAACATTTAGAAAATTTCAATACCAAGGATTAACTTTTAAAACACAGCTCATTGCATGCTGGGGCATGCCTGTAGTCCTAGCTATTCAGGAGGCTGGGGCGGGAGGATCGCTTGAGCCCAGGAGGTTTAGGCTGCAGTGAGCTGTGATCACACCACTGCACTCCAGACTGGGCAACAGACTGAGACCCTGTCTCAAAAAAAAAGAAGAAGAAGAAGAAGTTTAGGCTGAGCACGGTGGCTCGCATCTGTAATCCCAGCACTTTGGGAGGCCAAGGTGGGATGATTGCTTGAGCCCAGGAGTTTGTAACCAGCCTGGGCCACAAAGTGAGACTCCATCTCTACCAAAAATAAAAATAATAATAATAATAATAAAAAGATTAGCTGTGCATTATAGCACACATCTGTGGTCTCAACTACACAGGAAGCTGACACAGGATGATGGCTTGAGCCCAGAAGTTCAGGGCTGCAGTGAGCCATGTTCACACCACTGCACTGCAGCCTGGGTGACAGAGTAAGACCCTGTCTCAAAAAAATGAAATAAACTGGCCAGGCGCAGTGGTAAGTGCCTGTAATCCCAGCTACTTAGCTGGGGGGCTGAGGCACAAGAATCGCTTGAACCTGGTAGGCAGAGGTTGCAGTGAGCTGTGATCATACCACTGCAATCCAGCCTGGGCAACAGACTGACAGTCTGAGACTCTGTCTTTAAAAAAAAAAAAAAAAAAAAAAAGACAAGTTCAGGCGGAGCATAGTGGCTTACACCTATAATCTCAGCACTTTGGGAGGCTAAGGTGGGAGGATCGCTCGAACCCAGGAGTTCTAAACCAGACTGAGCCACAAAATGAGACTCTTCCTCTACAAAAAAAATTTGTTTTAAATCAGCCGTGCATTGTGGGGCAAACCTGTAGTCCCAGCTACACATGAAGCTGACACAGGATGATCACTTGACCCCAGGAGTTGAGGGCTTCAGTGAGCTGCATTCACGCCACTGCACTCCAGGCTGGGCAACAGAGTAAAACCTTGTCTCAAAAAAGTGAAATAAATTGGCCTGGTGCAGTGGCGTGCACCTGTAATCCCAGATAGGAAGCTGAGGCACAAGAATCGCTTGAACCTAGTAGGCAGAGGTTGCAGTGAGCTGAGATCACGCCACTGCAGTCCAGCCTGGGTGATCGAGTGAGACCCTGTCTCAAAAATAAATAAATACTAAGTTTATAGTCAGAGGCTATACAACTAGCCATTCAATAAAATGCATGTGCAATACGGTGGAGGAGCTTGTGACCATCCCCATTTGAATGCTGGGGAAACAAACAGCGTAGTTCAAGGTCCCCAATGCAGCAGGTCTTACTCATTTCAGAAGGGAACTCTGCCGAAACCGTGCCAGTCTTTGGAGACCCCTCTCTACTCGTCTGGAGAGCCACGAATCCGGCGCGCGTCCTCCCCACCTTGCCCGCCAGGGGGAGGCAAGCCCCTGCTCCCCGGTCGTGGGCCATAGAGCTGGTGGGAGGTGGTTGAGAGGCGTGGGTGGGTCAGCGTTCTTTGGGGACCCGTGAAGCCTGGGCTTAGAGCTCTAGGGTCTGTGTACATTCTGTGTATATTCTGGCGTGGGTCCCCAGCAGAGACAGAGAAGGCGAACAGCTTCCCGTGAACTGCAGGGGAGTCCTGGAACGCTGTCCTCCAGCGAGATGGAGACCGGCCATGTCCCTCAGTTCCCCCTTCGGTCTTGGGCCACGGGGACCTTAGATTGAGGGTGTTAGCTCTGCAAACCCTGCCCAGGCCTCTTCTGACCAGAATAGCTGCGACGGACGCGGAGTCCAGGCTGGGGTTCAGGCCCCTTGGCTACTGCGGTCTCCTGAGCTCGACCCCCGCCCTGCTCCCATGGGGAAGACCCACGCCCCTAGAACAGTCTCCCCTCCAAGTGTCTCCCCTTCGGGACCCCTCCGCGGGCCGGGGACTCCGCCAGGCCTAGGGAGGCCGACCCTACCCCTTCTAGCTCCTCCCCTGCTCCGACCTGGTCCCCGCCCTCGGCCGCCCACCAGTCCCCGAGGCGTACACGTGGTAGATTCCGTCAGGCCCTGAAGTCTCGCGTTACTCAAACGCCTCGCGCAGTCGCACTTGCGCTTAGGGAAGGTGGGGGCGAACGGAAGCCGGGAAGGCGATTCGTGGCTCGCGGGGTATGGGCGCGCGTGCGCACTCCGCAGCCCATTCAGGACCCCGGCGCCGCAGGGCGCCCACGAGCCAGCGAGCGGGTTGCGCTCTCTTTCCTTTCCTTTTCTTCCCTTCCCGGGACCTTGGGTCGCGGTTACTTGGGCTGGCCGGCGAACCCTTGAGTGACCTGGCGTGGAGCGGGCCTGGTGCGCCTGGAGGGCCCTGTGGAGCGGAGAGTAGGCAGGGGAGGGGCGGCGGAGGGGTGCGAGGTTGGGGGCGACGCGATGAATGAATCGGAACGCGGGGCGGGGAGACGCGGGAGCTGGAGGTGAGTGGGAGGGGACGAGGGGCCGGAAGGAAACGTGTACGTCCTCTCTCCGGTACACCCTTTGTTTGGGCTTTTTGTTTTTTGTTTTTATTTTTGTTTTTGAAACAGCGTCTTGCTCTGTCTCCCAGGCTAGAGTGCAGTGGCGCGATCACGGCTCAACTGCAGCCTCGAACTCCTGGGCTCAAAGTATCCTCCCGCCTTAGCCTCCCAACCAGCTGGGATTACAGGCGGGCACTACCAGGCCTGGCTAGTTTTTAAAAATTATCTTAAGACGGGCTTGCTAGGTTGCCCAGGCTGGTCTCAAACACCCGGGCTCCAGCGATCCCCCCGCCTCGACATCCCACAGTGCTAAGGTTACAGGCTTGAGCCACTCCCCGGCCGGGTGTACCCTTTGTACAGGAAAGGGGGTAGGAAAGCCTTCGAGGTCACTGTGATCCCTCTGATCGCGTCCCTTTCCCACGCCAGGGCACACAGCATGGCAGAAAACCGAGAGCTCCGAGGTGCCGTGGAGGCTGAACTGGATCCGGTGGAGTACACGCTTAGGAAAAGGCTTCCCAACCGCCTGCCCCGGCGGCCCAATGACATTTATGTCAACATGAAGACTGACTTTAAGGCGCAACTGGCCCGCTGCCAGAAGCTGCTGGACGGAGGGGCCCGGGGTCAGAACGCGTGCTCTGAGATCTACATTCACGGCTTGGGCTTGGCCATCAACCGAGCCATCAACATCGCGCTGCAGCTGCAGGCGGGCAGCTTTGGGTCCTTGCAGGTGGCTGCCAATACCTCAACTGTGGAGCTTGTTGATGAGCTGGAGCCAGAAACGGATACACGGGAGCCGTTGACTCGGATCCGCAACAACTCAGCCATCCACATCCGAGTCTTCAGGGTCACACCCAAGTAATTGAAACGGCACTCCCCCACTTATCCCCTCCCCGGTGTGGCTCTTATCATACTGGACCTCGAACCAGAGTCATGGAAGAAAAGGCCTGTCCCTGGAAACCCAAAGGACTCCGTATTGAGGGTGGGGGTAATTGTCTCAGTGGGCCCAGTTAGTTGGTCTTCCTGAGTGTGTGTGTGGTAACTATTGTCATGTAAATAAAAAATACTGTTGCACTAGTGTCCTGCCGCCCCACTGCCACTCATTTCTTCCCTATGTATATTCTGTATGTACCTGAATAAGGATGGTAGGAAACGCTAAATTGAGGTGAAAGGGAACCCTAGTGTTTTTTTCCCTCCGTAGAGAGCTTAGATTGTCCTATGAACAGTGTAACAAAATAAACTGTTAATACGCCTGGTCATCCCGATGTTCGCTTTAAAGATTTTCATTTTCTAGTTGAATGCCGTGGCTCCAGCCTGTAGTCCCAGCTACTGGCAGAGGCTGAGGTGGAAAGATCGCTTGAGCCCGGGAGTTTGAAGGTGCACTCCAGTCTAAGTGATACACTGAGACCCCCGTCTGTGCAAAACATTTTTTTTTCTGAGATGGAGTCATGCTCCGTTGCCCAGGCTGGAGTGCAGCGGTGCAGTCTTAGCTCACTGCGATGTTTGCCTCCTGGGTTCAAGCAATTCTCCTGCTTCATCCTCCCTAGTAGCTGGGATAACAGGCAAGTGCAACCACGCTAATTATTTTTGAATTTTTAGTAGAGACCAGGTTTCACCATGCTGGCCAGGCTGTTCTTGAACTCCTGACCTCAAGTGATCTGCCCTCCTCTGCCTCCCAAGTGAAAAAAAATTTTGAAAACTAGATGGGTGTAGTAGTTACTTGCACCCATAATCCCAGCTACCTCATTGGCTAAGGCAGGAGGATTGCTAGAGCCTGGGAGTTCCAGGCTGTAATGAGCTGTGATCACTGCAATACACTCCAGCCTGGGTGACAGAGCAAGATCATATCTCAAAAAAAAAAAGGGGAAGCAAACTAAGACTTCAGGACCTTCTTAGTGTCAGGCTCTGTGATAAAGACAAGTGGCTTTATTTAATTCCTGGACCTACAGGGTCTGCCTAATGACATCCCAGCTTTCAGGTACAGGGTTCTTCAGACCCCCCTTTTTTTTTTTTTAGAGTTTCACTTTGTCATCTTCATCCAGGCTGGAGGGGAGTGGTGCAATCTCAGCTCCCTATAACTTCCACCACCTGGGTCAAGGAGTTCTGCCTCAGCCTCCCGAGTAGCTGGGACTGAGTCTCACACTGTTGCCCCGGCTGGAGTGTAATGGTGTAATCTCAGCTCACTGCAACCTCTGCCTCCCAGGTTCAAGAGATTCTCCTGCCTCAGCCTGCCACCACACCCAGATGATTTTTTGTATTTTTAGTAGAGAGGGGGTTTCACTATGTTGGCCAGGCTGGTCTCGAACTCCAAACCTCGTGATTCACCCGCCTAGGCCTCCCAAAGTGCTGGGATAACAAGTATGAGCCACCACGTCCAGCCTATTTTATGTATTTTTAGTAGAGAAGGGGTTTCACTATGTCAGCCAGGCTGGTTTCAAACTTCTGACCCCAAGCATTCCACCCTCCTTGGCCGCCCACAGTGCTGGGATTACAGGTGTGAGCCGCCGTGCCTGGCTTCCAGACCCTTCTGACTGGGCTGCTCCAGTGGCAAAGGGACTCCCTAAATAATTAATTACTGGGCACTCAGGTAATACTTTCTGGGTATTTGTGGGATGACCTGATTTTTCATATTTATCAAACGAGTCAACTAAAGCAATATTTATCAAAGCCGGTTGTGACCCATTTGTGGGCCTTTAGATCAATGTACTGTATCACAGCTTCTTTAAAAATAAATAAATAAATAAATAAACAGGCCGGGTGCAGTGGCTCATGCCTATAATCCCAGCACTTTGGGAGGCCGAGGCAGGTGGATAACGAGGTCAAGAGATCGAGACCATCCTGGTCAACAAGGTGAAACCCCGTCTCTACTAAAAATAGAAAAATTAGCTGGGCATGGTGGTGCACGCCTGTAGTCCCAGCTACTCGGGAGGCTGAGGCAGGAGAATTGCTTGAACCCAGAAGGTGGAGGTTGCGGTGAGCCGAGATCATGCCATTGCACTCCAGCCTGGGTAACAAGAGCGAGACTCCGTTTCAAAAACAAACTAACAAAAAACAAGCCTGTGTGCGGTGGCTCATGCCTATAATCCCAGCACTTTGGAAGGCTGAGACAGGCCCATCTCTTGAGCCCAGGAGTTTGAGACCAGCCTAGGCAACATGGTAAAACCCCATTTCTACAAAAAAATATAAAGAATTATCCAGGCATGGTGGCACAATCCTGTAGTCCCAGCTACTTGGGAAGCTGAGATGGGAATATCACCTGAACCCAGGAGGCAGAGGTTGCAGTGAGCTGAGATCACACCACTACACTCCAACCTGGATGACAGAGCAAGACCCTGTCAAAAAAAAGGAAAAAAAAAAAAAGAAAAGAAAAACAAACCCAAGTTTAAAAAAAAAAAAAGTGCAACTTAAATGGTGCTTTATTGCAGATTTTTTTGTTTGTTTCTTTGAGGTGGAGTCTCTCTGCCACCTAGGCTAGAGTTCAGTAGTGCTATCTTGGCTCATTGCAACCTCTGTCTCCCAGGTTCAAGCAATTCTGCCTCAGCCTCCTGAGTAGCTGGTATTACAGGTGTGTGCCACCATGCCCAGCTAATTTTTGTATTTTAGTAGAGATGGGTTTTTGCCATGTTGTCCAGGCTGGTCTCAAACTCCTGACCTCAGATGATCGGCATACCTCAGACTCCCAAAATGCTGGGATTACAAGCGTGAGCCACCAGGCCTGGCCAGCAAATTTTTTAGTTAGATATGTGTATGTACATATATGTACTATAATAGGATGTAAACTGTGTTTTTTACCATTTGAGGTCTGTCCCATGTGGTTTGTTTTGGCAGTTCTTCTGATTTATGGGTCAAGAGCCTCTGATGTATGGGTTAGGAACAGAATTTCACTCTAATTCAAGTGAAGATGGTTTGGTTTGGAGGTCTGAAGATCAGGCTTCTAATTTACCAAAATCCATTTCTCTGGCATCCACATATGAAATGGTGCCTACTTTTAAGGAAATCGCCATCTAATTGGGAAGGTAGACACATCATTTTTTGTGAATGAGTAAGATGTGTAAGATGTAAGAGTAGCAATGATAAGGAAATGTGGAGATGGAAAGGGCTAGTAAATTCCTGGTGGGAGACAAAACGGTTTTACTCACCTCGGATCAGGGTGTTGAAGGATGAATAGGAGTTTGCTAGGCAAAAAAGAGGGAAGACGGCATATTTGGCAGAGAGATCACAGTAGGGTGGGGAGGTGGGTGGATACGGCTGGGAATGGTGGCTAATACCTGTAATCCCAGCACTTTGGAAGGCTGGAGAGAGAAAATTGCTTGAGCTCAGGGGTTTGAGACCAACCTGAGCAATAGAGTGAGACTTCGTCTCTATAAAAAATTTAAAAATGAGCTGGGCATTGTGGGAAGTAAAAGGTCCTTTTTAAAGTTTCTTTTCCTCTTAAAGAATAAACCATAAGTGTGGTGATAACTCTTTGTTAAGCCCTATCCTATGGAGCTATTAGACATGTTCACAGGCACGTAGTACATTCTATGTCCTCGTACTTTTAACTAAAATATCTGTGCTGGACATGCTCACAGGCGTGTTCTAGCTCACAGCCTATGCCCCTTCCTTATTAAACTTCTCTATTACTGTTACCTGATTAGAAAAGTTTTAAGTTGTTGGCCAATTGAATTTTAGTTTAGATTGTGAGGTGTGGCTACAGCCAACAGAGATCAGACACAGCAGTAAGGCTGACCCCAAGTGCACAGGAGATAAATATGTCTGCTTTTCCTTCGTTCATTGTACCCTTGTGGCGAAATGGCTATCAAGGGTACCTTTCCTGCAGGAAGTAAAAATTGCTTTGCTGAGAAATCCTTTGTCTCAGTGCTGATTTTTCTTTGCAGCACTGAACATCTGTTTCAACAGCATGGTAACATGTGCCTATGATCCCGATACTCAGGAGGCTAAGGGGGAGGATTGCCTGAGCCCGGGAGGTTGAGGCTGCAGTGAGCCATGACTGAGGGCTTTCGACACAGCAAGACCCTGTCTCAAAAAATAATGGACCAGGAGGGGATTAATGAATAGGCAGCTGTGTTCTGGGACTGGAGGGACTTGAGGTGGCTAGAAAGCAGGAGGTACTGGGACACAAGGCTGTGGACATTCTCTCTCTCTCTCTCTCTCTCTCTCTCTCTCTCTCTCTCTCTCTCTCTCTGTGTGTGTGTGTGTACAGGCATCTACCACCATGCCCAGCTAATTTTTGTATTTTCAGTAGAGACAAGGTTTCACCATGTTGGCCACGTTGGTCTCAAACTCCTGACCTCAAATGATCTGCCTGCCTTGGCCTCTCCAAGTGCGGGGATTGCAGGCGTGAGTCACTATGCCCAGCGGCTGCAGGCATTTCTTCCGGGCCACATCCCTTCCATCAGCCTGACTGCAAGGCTCCCTTGCCCGGGAGCCCCCCGGTAGCTGAGTGGAAGCCGGCAGGAAGCTGGATGGAACTGTGTCTCCCTGCACGTATGTGCTCCGGGCCTGAGCCCCGCAGAGGTGGTGGCAGGCAGCCTGTCCCATGTCGTTTGTTTTGGCAGTTCCCTCCTCAGCCTGTTTGTTTGTTGTTTCTACTCCATGTTTTCTCACTGCTTGCCAGTGAGGCTTCCCTCAGTGGTAGTTCTTCAGAAACAGACCTAGACTTTGCCACCGAAGCAAGAGCGGGGCCCGAGGCTCACCCTTTTGTGTGCAGGGGACCTGAGCCAGGCTCCTGTACTGTAGGTAGGGCACTGTAGGTAGGGCAGGGAACACTGCCTGCAGGCCCCTCCATAGGGAGGCTGGCTCCAGCCTCTGTTCTCCTCCCTCTACTGGCTTTCCAAAGTGACTTCCATCAAAGTTTGGGAGGCCAGGAACAGTGGCTCATGCCTGCAATCCTAGCACTTTGGGAGGCTGAGGCAGGCGGATCACCCAAGGTTAGGAGTTCAAGACCACCAGCCTGGCCAACATAGTGAAGCCCGTCTCTACTAAAAATACAAAAATTAGCCAGGCATGGTGGCACGTGCCTGTAGTTCCCGCCACTCAGGAGGCTGAGGCAGGAAAATCACTTGAACCTGAGAGGCAGA